ATCTACATCTTAAACACTCCGCAGCATATAGTACAGAAATAATCACTACCATGTACATATCAACACAAAGAAAAGTTAAAATGGATATGAACACTAGTATTTTTTGAATGAGGCACACATAACTCTTTTCAAAGATATGTAACATGTATTTCATGCTTCCTGGTAACCCAAAAGAAAGAAAGCCCTCCTAAACATCTAAACCCTCTAACCCTTTGTCCTGACTCGGACTAAACTTGGTGAAGCTGGAGTTTACCTGGCAGAAGGCTTAATGAAAACGTACAAAGACAACAGAATTTGTCAACTGACAATAAAAATGATGAGATATATATATATACACACACACATACACAGTTCTTTGTAATGCTTGTACATGCACAGAAATCCTTCAACTTAGTTAATGCTAAGGAGTTTGATGGCTAAAATTGAATGGAAACCAGATCAGGAGATGGTAAAGGCACTATATTTAGCTCTGGAAAGCTCCAACTATTAAAAAATTCAGAGGTCCTCAAAACATACACCAGAAAGAAATACTAAAGGTACAGAAAATTCAGAACAAATTTGAAGAACCTAGACTATGTGAAATATCACCTGCTCTTTCTGTAAAATAGAAATTTGCCTAACACTGAATAACCCCAGTGCTTTCAAGGAGCATACTGCAGTCTGTACAAATTTCCTGGCAAGTCTGGGCAGAACCAGCGCCCAGGAGCATCAAAAGGGGCTTTTATCCTCTTTCTGTGTCATCAAGGAACACATGCCAGCCACCAGGTGAACTAAATTTCTGTGGTACCAAATGCACCCCGAAGTCAAAGGCATCGCACCTGCTGAAGAGGATTGCACAGTCCCAGCAGACGGCCTGCGCCGTCACGGGTTTCAGCTGTCAGTATGGCAGGCGCTTACGGCACATCTGGTACTGGCACTCCCTGAAAACAGCATGCCTTTTAGTTCTTAAATTCGTATAGGTATCTTGGCATAAATTTTAGGGGAAAGGTGGCTAGGCTTGTATGTTTGTCATCAAATAAAACACAGAATGTATGTTTAAGCTTTACCTAGTTTCACCTCTAAACGCATTGCATCATTTGAAGTGTCTGGACGGACAGTTAAATTCCTAAGTAAGAAGGTAAGTAACCCCAGCCTGACATTTATTGCTGATAATTCTCTAACAGCGGGTAACATGAATGGCTTTAACACACGGTGCCGTACACGTGCTATGACAGATTTCAGGAATCTAACCGGTATTTGTTGTGCAGGAAAAAGCATACTATTATTAACAGAATGGTCTTATCCAGGATAACAGACATGGAAATGTAAGATACCTCACAAAATTTCCTATGGCAGAATTAGGACTGGAATACCACAAGAAGATCACTTTAGTTAACATGAATTGTACAGAAATATGATCTCTTATCCCCCAGAACAAACAGATTTATTTGTTCTCCCTTGAATATGCCTTGGCTTACTTTCTTAAATCCAACCAGTTAAGAATAATTCCTCTATGTAAAGGCACATCCAGAATGTACCAATGCAAACACATGTTTTGGAGGATGTTTTGTCACGAAGGAAGAAAAACCCAGTAAGTTACCTCCAACAATAGATGTTTTGTAACGAACACATACCGTTATTGTTTGCACAGAACAATTTAAAATAGCAACAACCACGTTAACAAAATAACCGCCACGATTTAGTTCCACTGGACTTGTGCTTCCAGCTGCTCCCTCGGCAGACACAGACACACAGCAAACGTGGGAACAAAATCAGGACTTGCCTCATACACGGCTCCTGGGTAAGGACTAGCATGGCTGTCCTCCAGGGCCTGCTCCCAGGAATTCCCACTAAAACATCTGGATGGCACTTGGTAGGTTTTTATAGCATTAATTTCTCTAACGAGGGCGGAGAAATAGTCATACAGATGAAAGGGGAAACTGTCAATGCACAGAGTGCTGACGTACCCATTCGGCAAACAAGCTGGGAAACGTATCTTCTTTCATTATCTCCAGAGGCTTCAGCACTTGCTGTAGTCATAAGTTTACTGTATTGACAGTATCCCTTCAAAGAAAAATTCCAGCGCAGTACAGAAATTACTTTAATCAGTACCGATCACTACGGGCTAATGTCAGACAGAGGCAAATGTACAGGCAGGCGCGCAGACATCCATTCCGTACGATGGCCTGGGGAGGGAATGGGATCTTCCTTGCACATCGCAGAACAGCAGCAGTTTGCACCTCGGGAGCCTGGCTCCCCTGCTCGGCGGCATCAGCAGCCATAGGGAAAGTCAGTCGCTGCTTCCCACACCCCGAGATGCGTACGGCATGCGGGAAGAGCTGTGGTTCACTGTGGGCCTGTAAAGACATCACGCAAAAGCTTTGCCCAAGCGCTGCCGACTGCTCCCGCTGCAGTGGCGTTCCCTGCAGCCGAGGAGTTTAGGAGCACTGGGCAAGACAGGTTAAGAATGTCCCCTGAAAGCGTAACCCCTGAAGAAGCCGCACTTCAGGAAAAGCATCAGCTTCTCCGTTTCAAATACTCGTGGGATTAAAACCAACAGAACTTACATTCATTCACTCTCTTTTTTGGTTACTTTAAACCTGTATTTTGACATATCTAAAGATTACTATGTCGGATTACTTTCAAGAGCCTGGAAAGCCTTACCTTTCTAATATTTCAAACAGGAATATATAGTTCTTTCGCCATTTTTTGGTATAAAAATGAGCCCCAGTTGAGAAATACAATTGAAATAGCAGATCTAACTGACATAGACAGCTCTTTCATTTACTGAATAGAGGTACTGAAAATCATCAATAGCTCCAGGAACTGCCCTGAGAATTCCTATCCCTTCCCATCAACCAAATATTTACTTAGCATATCCTCTGCTTCTAGTAGTCCAATAGGAGATTTCAGTCTTTCTTTAATGGCATCTTGTAAAGGATGATGAATTTTGGAAAGAAATGGCTATAACTTATGATCAGATCAGGATACATTATGATTTATTAAAAAACGAGTATCCCATTGCCACCTACCCTGTAGTTTCTCCTCATCTGCTGTGTCCCATCCATTTTTAAGGACCACTGATCTCTAGAACAGTCCTTAGGAGAACAGCAGTTGCAGTTGGAGGATGTAGATGCCGGGGTAAGTGGTAGACGTTTACCTGTTGCACACCTCCTACACTGCCAGATGGCTACTCCTAATTCTGAGTAGCCAGAGAAGGTACAACAGCACACATCTACCTGCTCGCTGCTGCCGGCACGGCAGGACCCTCTCCTCCCACTTCAAGCTGAGAAGAAGGGATGAGGCTGAAAGCCTCGGGCCTGCTCCAGGGTTCTCTGTCAAGAAGCACTTCTCCTTCTACCCTTTAATGTTTAGGCACACTACCCTCTTACAACAAAGGTCGTTTTAAGATTAAAAAGCGTGAATCCATTGCTGTGAAAAAGAACAGGAGAGAGACAGAAGCAGCTTAAGTAGTTTCTTTTTTTTCCTTTTTCTTTTTTTGTTGAAATTCCAGCTATTATAAAAAGTAAGGTGCTTTTCATTGTCAACCAACATAGCTCTCACGGGATCTAAAGCTTTGATACCTAACAACAGGGATTAATACCAACGATCAGTACCGGCAACAGATTGTTAACTCCCCATGACGAAGTCCGAGACAGTTCTTACTTCAGGGAAGTTACTTTTACAAACACATTCTTGACAAATAACTTCATACTGTGGAATCCTTCAAAGGACTTGCTGAGAGAAAGTGGTAGAGTATCTGGGTGCCTTTGGCAGGAAACATGACTTTTATGTTGAAAGAATGACAGTTTCCATTTTCAGTAGCTTTAAAATACTTGTTGAGCCAGCACTGCTGCAACAATTTGGTTCTTTACATAAATTAGCAGTTGGACATCCTACCCACATGAATAGATTTGTGGATGTAGGCTTGCCTCACGAAAAACTGCTGTGCTAACATATGTTTAAGGCTTAGTGAAGAACTGAAATACTGTTTGGATGAGGATTAAAAAAAAAATGTTTTTTTTAACCTCCCATCTGAAAAGATGGCTGAGGTTTTATGCATTATTTTTTCTGAGGAGAAGCAATGTGCAACAAGTAATCTCAGAAATATCAACTCTGGCACATGATAAAGGAGAAGAAAGTATAGGGGGAATAAATGAGTAGTAAGGAGGAAACCTTGATGACCGCTGTATGTAAGTACCAGATTAGGTAGTCAGGGATAAAATCCTGGCCCTTCTGAAATCAAAAGCACAATACAGCTAAATCACATACAAATGTCACTGTCAGTACTGAGACAAACAGATTATTTCCCAAATGCTTTTGCAGAAAACAACATAACTCCTCTTGGGAGTTTATACACACAGCATCTCTGAAAGGAGAGTGATTCATGTAAGTAGAAATCTTCAATAACATTTAGAAGGACTAAAAGCCTTTGAAGTATCTTCACAGTTTGAGCTCTCCATGACTACTGATTAGTAATGGTAAGCAATTATTTCTTTTTTATATAAATATATGATCCTCTTCTTTTTGCCAAGTATCAGATCTGTACAATTACCATCGGTTTTGCAAATACTTTCCAGGCCTGTTTGCAATTTATCTCCCGTAAGAGTTACTTCTGTAGAAAACAGAGCTGTTTTAGACCAAAACGCGTAACAGAGATAAGGAGAAGGTACAAAAGGCACCTGTGTTCACAATGCAGTGTCAAATATTCAGAACTTCTTCCAGGCAGTTCTGAAATTCTTCATATTTTGTGATTGCCAATGATTCTGGATGACACTCCAAACAGTGCATCCAATTTTTTTCTTGCCAAAGGGTACTTCTCTTATTTTTTAATATAAATATTAATCGCTGTGCTGTCAGTTCTGAAATGATGAAGATGGATTAGCAGCTTGTCCAAAATATCAGCCAGGCCTTGTAGTAAACACTTGCAAGAGGCACAATGTTGGCAGTAAGCTTTTGAAATTTCAGTCCACAAGTAAAATGTCAATTAAAGGTTTAAAAAACTTGCATGTTTGCATAGATTAACATTCACTTGTCCTTTCATGTGCAAGAAATTGATCCCTTTCGTTTGCATTTTCAGGTTCATCCACTTCTTCCACAGGGCTCTTTTCTTGCAACCCACTGTTTTCTGAACAAGAATCATCATCTCTGTCGCTACGATGACCTTCAAGACTGTGCCTGATGCCATAAGCAAAGTAAATGAGGAAGCCTTCCAAAAGGAAGAAAGAAAAGTTAATAGGGTTTTCAGGCAAGTAGTGCATCAAAAAGTAGTTAGTTACTGCTCTCTGGCTGAACATATTTTCCAAAACAAGTTTCTTCTTCAGGTATCTGGAACAGAGCTCATGCTTCAGGTCTTCCCTGTTTTTATGGGAAGTGCAGGCACTAAATCACAGCTCATAATTTTTGTGTAACTTAATGCTTTAATAGGTCATGGACAATACTATCACTAATTTATGTCTAGATAGAATTAATAAAATCTTCCAGATCTTAAAGGAGAATGACTGATGTACTGGGAAGAAAACTGTTACAAACAGATCTCTGCAAAATTTTAGCTATACTTACTAGGTGATAAAAATGTGGCTTATTGAAATTAGTCCTGTAACTTTGATTCTTTCTATTACCCCAAAACTGTGACTGCAAAGGAACACCCCTTCTGAGGCATGCTCTTGTGATCAGCACTATCAACTGACTTATGAAAACACAGACTTGTTCAAATATTTAAAGGAAGAGAATAACATGTTCTAAGATGGGATTCGTCAGTCCTAATGTAAGAGGTGATTGAAATGAACAGAAGTACCCACCAAGTGTCATCCAGATGCTAAATCTGATCCAAGTGTCTCCACTTAATTGTACCATCAAATAAATATTTACCAGGATACTGAATGATGGCAGAAATGGCAATAGCGGAACCTAAAAGGAAATATTTAAGATGTCTGTAGCATTAAATGTCATTTCTTGCATGTCACACTTCAGTTATACAGAAGTGACACGTCTGCTAACTAAAAAGAGTAGGATTTTTTTTTTTCCCTTGAAATATAGTGAAACTTTCTTTCTCACTTAGCTTAACCACTGGCTTCTACATATCACACTTTAAAAAAAATTATTTTAAAAAATATATTCCCTAAGGCTGTGAAGGAAAACTTCCCGGTTTGTGCTGAACATATACTAATGAACCTACAGCTGAAAAATATTATTTATTTTTATATATTCCTTCTTTCTGAATTGCCTTCCCTAATTCCACCAGATTCCTTGACCTTCATCACTGTACTTCATCATTTCCATTAAATAACTGACCTCAGAACATTAAGTGAAAGCCCAAAATTAAGGGCATATACTCTGGGCGGTGCAAACTGTTTTCTGGCCAAAACACTGCACACAACACAGACAAGTGACTGCACACTAATCTGTTTCTGAATTATTTTCTGGCTTCTAAGTGCTTAGATTGAGGTCTAAAATTATTTGGGCCTCAAGCAATGTGCACTTTGGGGATGTGTCTCCAGGAATACCTGGAAGACCTGTGCTGTCAGATGCACTGGTTCACACCAACATCAGTGGGAAGGCCATTTCCTGCAGCCATGCTCCTATGCATGCCATACGTTTCAGTCTGCGGCAAGGAAACCCTTTCTCTAGTCCTGAGAAGACCTGGACTGAACTGCACATGCCGGTGATTCAGTCATAAGCATCTGCTACCGCCCTCACCCTCACTAAAAAACCTGCTCTAGTGGCAGTGCAGTGATGGAAGATTGTCTGAAAAAGGACCGTCTCACTCCCTGCCCCCCTCCCACTTGTTACAATCCATCCAAACCTCTCCTTAGAGAATGGGATAGAAAATATGTTATTCACCATGAAGGCCACTTTCTGCTGGTTCTGAGGTTGCCTTTGGATGAGGAGAATGGTAACTATGAAAAATGCCGCCAACACAGCAAGAAGGCCAATACTCCAGGGCTCCAAGTTAGCAATGAAATGAATCCGGTAAGTAGTGAGGACACTCAAGCCACAAACCAAGAAAGCTGTGTGAAAAACAAAATGATGGAAGCAGGAAAGAGGTTATTTAATCTCTGCATTGAAGAGGATGTGACTTTTATGAAGAATGACAGTAGGTCTTCAGCGTAAAACGTTATCACAAGAATGTTTAATTAAAGGCAAATATAGCAGACTACAGATTAGATCCATCATAAAGTATAAAAGCATTTTGCAGAATGACACATGAATTATGACTCAAAGAAGGCATGTTATCACTGGATTTTTAACTCTGTCTTTAATAAACTTCCATTATTTAGGGTAATGCACTGTATGAGCTTGGACAGCTGAATACTTACCTAGGAGACCCACTAAAAATGTAACAGTAGTTGCAGTCTGCTCGGTAGGAAAACTGGATGGATTAATCAGGGCCTGAAGACTGAAGCGATTATCTTGTATCATATTTATCTGTGATTCACTTACTGCAGATTCCCTTTCAGATGCAGCCAAAGCTGCCTTTTCTGGAGAATATTTTGGTTGCTCATAGGTTAAACTGGGTTGGTATCTGTGCATAAAACAAATGGGACAGTAAAAAATAAAGCTTATGTTGGGATTTGAAGCAATGTGACTCTAGCACTGTATTGAAATACTAAATTCTTTGCAGTAGACATTTAGAATTTCCCAATTTATAACTGCACTGCAACAGTATATATTATTAGTCACTGTCATACATAAACAAACTATGGCAACTCACTTTTTTGCCGTGTTTATTTTGGGATTTTTTGTGCAGGTTTCTGGGCTACGTGAATGCACCGATGGGTCAGACCCATTTGACCAGTCCCGCACAAAAAGAGGGGACAGGGTCTGGTGGTCAGTGGCAGGGCAAGGGCAGGGGAGTTCCTTTCTGACTTCTATCCCATACTGTAAGAGGCCTACTAACTGGCATAAACTGAAATTTCACATCTGCTTTGTTAGAGTTTAAGTGTATTTTAAATATATATATATGTAAACCAAGTCACTATGGGGTAGAATAGTCTTCGCTTTTAAAGTGTAAATTATTACAACACTGAATGTGAGCTGAGTTTATGCGGCTATATGTTTCAAAGTTAATTACTTAGCTGTAAGTAATACAGACTAACTTTTAAAAATAGCAATATGTATAAAGTGAGCTGTAGCTACCAGTATATCAACATTATTCCATAGCTTTACAAGCAGAACAGATATCAGAGTTTTATTGACAAGTATTCATAAACTCACTCACTGAGAGATAATATTTGCACTGTCTTCCTGGGCTACCACATCTTGAGACACTGTCTAGTCGTACATTTCTGACTAGGGTAATACAAAGCAATTATTGGAACTTGTTCATCCTGTGTACCACACAGGATTTCACTGGAAGCTTTGACTTGACTAACTGCTGTACTGATATGACACTATATCCTTGTTTTCTTTGATGAGTCACTGCCTCTTAGTAATCATTTATATGTGTACAGCTAATTTTTAAACACTTAGCTACCTAGCAGAAAAAATACTCTGTAAATGTTGCTTCTGTTTATGTACTGACCAACACAGAGTAATACACAGTGGAATACGGAGGTTGTTTTTGACTTACCTAAGAATGAGGACACAGGTTGCCACAAGCGAATAAGCAAGAAGTGTACCAATAGACATCATGTCCACTAAAGCCTTTAGGTCAAACAGAAATGCCATTATAGCTAAAAAAGAAAATAAAGTGCAAAATTTGTATGAGGCTGACACAGAATCACAGATTCAATTTAGGTTGGAAAAGACCTTTAAGATCAGTGAGTCCAACCATAAATGCTGAGATTAAGACATAGAAAGGTCTAAGATTTTTAAATCTGCCCACAGTGTAAATATATATTGTTCTACCGATAGCGTGAAATCATGGTAGTCCTTAAAAAAACATTTTTGAAGTCATGGCCAACATTCCCACACCTAATTCCCTACAGTTGGGAAGCTCGTTCATATGGCACTGATGAGCCGTACAGTCATGCTGCGTAACCAAGTGATTCGTATTGGACTTATGCGGACATAAGCATTTACACACATGGATTGTTGAACTGGGGCCACATGTAAAACACGTTTTTATAGAATAAGGTTCAGATCGTGCAACAGAATCTCACCAAAGCTGAGAGGATGAACCCACTGCAAAACTGGGGAAAATGATCTGACCCACTAGGCCACCAATATGTGAAATTTCTGCTGCGCTGAGAAAGAGTTCTGTGTAAAGAGCACTTTCCAGAGCCGTCTCCAGCAAAATAGTTCTGTGGGGTTTTAAAAATTTATTATCTTACTAAAAAAAAAAAAGTTAAGTTCAAGTGGCCTTCAAAAAGGCCAGCAAAATCTCACAAAAAGTAGTATTCTTAAGATCACTGTAATCAGAGGCAGAAACTGTCATGATACTGACAGTGATTACAGCAGTCTTTGTGTTTATAAAAGCTAATGCCACATTCGTTTGGAGATTGGGGAATGTCTTTTTTTGTCTATGCTGTTTGCACACAGACACACATAGCTCACAGAGAAACAAGCACAAGCCAGCACTAAATGAAAGGCTAATGCGAATTGATTTGAAATATATGTGGCCAAAGAACCTCTTAAAATATTTGGTTTTTTTTTAACATTATTGAGATGCAGAAAGAATCTAAAAAGACTTTTGAATCACCAGCCATCTCAACACCAAAGGAAACTATTACATGTAGCCTTTATACACGGCAGGCATATGCACAAATTTTTCTGTATTCAGAAATACTTATATATAATGTTTATGTTATGTGTTTGTTAATACATTTGTAGACAGGTGTGTAAGTGCACAAACACACATGTCCGTGGCATTTGATCCTGAAGGAGAAAGCAAGACATGATTGTCTGAAAGCAAGACTGCTGTGTTACAGAAGTTTTACTCCATCTGGCAGTCTCCTTCTCCAATGAAGGAAGGAAGACCATCCTGTTTTCTTTAATGGCAGCGGATGTTCCTAAATCCAAGAAGTCATTTACGGGATAGATTTCTGAACACCCCACTGCTTTGCATAGGTAAGCAAAGCTGGGGATGAACAGAACCTACTATACCCTCACGTACAGTAGCTATATTCCATCATTAATCTTAGCCTCAAAAGGCTACTCTGTAGCCCAGAATATGCTTTTACATTAGTAACAAACTGAAAAATACCTGTAGATTTCTGAATAAGTGGGGGGGGGGGGGGAAAAGACACAGAATCACTTTTCCACCTCTCTTAATTGTAAGAAACAATGGCAGGTCAATTTGTGGTGAAGAAACCTTGGCCTGACATCAAAGCATTTCGCTACATGCAGTTTTGCAATCACGACTGCCCGGTGTGAAAAGCTACGTCGCAGTAATAACCTGTGACAATTGCTTCAGCTGTAGTCTTGACCTGACAACTTTAATTAAGGGGCCAAACGCCTACTCTCCTTCACATTTCTTAAAGCTGTGAAACTATCCATGCTATGAATGGATAGGAAAGTCAGGTAACATAAGCTGTTGCATGCACCCGTAACCGCCCTGGAAGAACAATCTATGACCACACGTTACCAAATATGCATGTTTTTAAAAACAGAAGAAGAAATTACTCCTTCTCCATCAGGAGAAGATAAAGCTGTCTTCAGGCGGGCTGTTGACACGCCAAGTTGCCCCAAGGGTGTAAAAGAGGTTCCAGGCTGCGGCAGAGCTGTAGCCAGGACTGTCTAACTACACCGGTTTGTAACCATTTTCCTTCTCCTCACCATTACTGTGATTTCAGATAAAGACGTTCATGTCATCCCGCATAACTGCACTTCCAGATTATTATAGGGGAAAAAGGCAGTAACATGAATCCAAATAATATAGTCAAAACACTAAAAGTAAGTCTAAGCAATTAGTGTGTATTGTAACCAAAGACAAAGGAACTGATAATAATGCTGTATGTGGGAACTATCCGGACAATGACCGTGCCTTCCCACGTTATTGTCAAGTACACACTGTGGGCAGTCCCAGTCTTGTGGCATTTGAGGATGACCCTGACTACAAATAACAGTATTTTAGCCTCAGTTCTGAACCACTTATTTGATACCAAGTTTAGCCAGGGATGCTGAATGTTATAAGGCCTGTATTTCACATCTGAATTCCTTTTAAGACTTATTTATTTGCCTTTGAGTTAAATACTTCTAGAGATTCCAGTTTTCATGGATAATTAGACATCCCACTGAAATGACAATGCACTTTGGGCACAACTACATGTACCTCTGCGAGAAGTATGGAGAAAAGTCAAACAGCTGTATGTGAAACATTAAGAGTTGGCAATAGCTCCCAAAATGCTGGTTTGCTAAAATATACGTGGGCACATATACACGTACATATATGTGTGTGCACACGTAACCCGCCAACACACACATATACCCCTCAGCCACAATTTGGTAAGGCTAGAAAAAACCAGAATCCTTCTTCTTTAGAGGAAAATTTTAAAATCTTGGTATTTTACACAAAAGTTGATCCTGTGGCAAACGTAGATATTTTTCTCATGTCTCACAATAAAAACGGTGAGTTATTTTCCCCCATTATAGATGTGATAAATACATAGGTGTGCAGCAGACAAGGAAACCCTGTAAGTAGAGCACCAGCCTGAGGGACCCAGATTAAGTAGCAAGCTTATTCACAATACAAGAGGCCAAAATTAAAAAAAAAAGAAAAAAATTAATTCTGTGACATCACCACCACCATGATTGGCATGATCTGGAGTTCTTACACCCTTTGATTACTCAGTGATTTTATTCCCCTCATACATGCACGGGAAGTTAACAAGCAGCCCTCTTCAAAAATATAAAGTACCATGCGCGTGCATAGAGTGCTTAAATCTCAGTTTTAAGTAACACGGGCTTGGAGAGCTTACCAGAGATGGCCCCTGCTGTCAAGGTGGCATAAACTGGTGCCTGCCTCTTACTCACTTTGGCAAGAAAACTAAAGAGTAAACCATCGCGTGCCATGGCAAACAGAATTCGGGGCAAAGGGAACATAGAGCCGAGAAGACTAGAACAGAAAAATGTATAGTTCAAACACAGGTTATTAAAAGCACAATGCTTTACTGGTAAACCCAACTACATAAAAAGAAAGCTCAGAAGGGTTAACGGGTTTAGGCTCTGTGTTGCTGCTCTTGGTTCTGATGTTGTCGGGTTTGGGTGGTTGTTTATTTTGAACCTAGGCTTTAAAAGCACTTGAGATTAACCAACAAGCACAAAATCTGTGGCAGAGAAAAGTTTTACTGGTAGCCTACTTTACCTGACAACCCTCAGATTTGATCATTTCAGCCCAAAGCAAATCAAAGCTGCGCAACAGTGGTTTATTTCCATATATGCAATGTGTTTAGCAGTGCACCTTTCTTTACAAGGATCAACTCTTAGTCTCACCTGCTACTGCACCAGATGATAGAGTAGCAACTACTGGGGTCTTCGTTTTGGAACTGATATGAGCTAGACATTTGAAAAGCAACCCATCCTTCGCCATAGCATAGATTACACGTGGCATTGGGAAAATGGATCCAAGAAGACTGAGTAAAAAGCAAACACATGCAACATGGCAAACACAGTTCATGCAGAGTTGTATCACGGACAAGATAAACAATGTTAATTAATGGCATGTACAGAAACAAAATTTATAATTGTAAGAGAAAACCAGAAAGCCCCACACCCCAAGATACTACAGATCAGACACACATAGGAATTTATTTTTCCTTGTAAAGTTGATTGCTGTTTATTATTATTAATTGCTAAATTATTATTAATTTAGGTAATGGAATTGCTTCACCTGAGTGAATTCAGATTAGCAAAATAACTCTTGCCATCACTGTAGTTCTTGGGTATTAGCGGACCAGGAACATGGTTCAGGTCACACTTAACTATGCAATTAAGCTTTAGTATTCCTGGAGGAAGTCTGTCAGTCAGCAGCAGCAAATCAATAAGCATTCGCAGCACCTTTTACACTCCACATTTCCATGTGAGGCTGCTGATTACCAGTAATTCAAAGTAAGCACCATACAGTTATACTTGGGCACATTATTTCTTTTGATTAAAGCACCTCTAGCCAAGCTTCATTAAGATTGCTTCTTTTTTTGGAAGAAGAAAAGCTAATTAATTTCCATTTGTTATTAGCAGAACACAGAAAGCTTTTAAATCGTTGATAACTCAAAGCTCTTTTAAACATGTTTCTTCAATTAGGTGGTTTTCTTCCCTCAAAGCAAAGTAGTTGTAATTAAGAAAACCAAAACCAAAGGACAAAAGGCAAAATCATAGCCAGTACAGCAAGCACACTAGTTTTTAACCAGGTGAATGGTTGCCTTTCTTCCTTCAGGGAACTGACTGTATCACTTAGAGAAGGCAGAGCTTTTACATACCGCAAATGCTAAGTACCTCCAGTAACGCTTGCTGAGACACAAGCTCTGAGGTTAGACACCATTACGCGTGAACTGACTTTGACATACAAATGTCCCTCCCAGAAATGAATGTTTCCTAAATCAGGGTGAGGATTGATTTTCAAATGAGGATGCTGTTGAAATCCACTGCCAAGTTGTTTGCTGTTGTGGCTCTGTAAAATTTATTCGTCCTACCCCTCCTTAAGTACATTCACATAAACAATGGAAATATTAACAAACATATTTACCCTCAAGAAACAAGCTCATGACATAACACAGTAAGAGGTAACTGTATGGACCAAAAGCAGTGATCCCAACTATTTTTCTTAATTATACCTCTAAAATTTTCTTTGAATTGTTCTAAACTGACATCAGTCAACAGACTGACAGATTAATGTCTCCATATGTGTAAATATAATTCTTCAGAATACACTGGGAAAAGAGACCATTCAAATTTTGCCATCTCTGTTCGTTTTGTTTTCCAGCATTAATTTCTTTAACCTAGTTTCTGCTTATATATCACTTTTACTATTTAACAATATGGAGGAAAAATTCAGTAAAACCTCCCAAACCGAGGGGATTGTGACAACAGAAAATAACTACAATCCCAGAATGCACTGTGTAACTATGACATTCTTCCGTCAGCCCTACCATATTTTTAACATCATCCTGGAACTATTTCCTTTCTCTACATCCTCCTACATCAAAATAATCCTTTCCTTTAAACCATTGTCCACAGTCAGTGTGCTCGTCTTCTCGAGGCTAATGCTTACAGGGTAATCTCAGAGTGCTGTTAGCATTATTGCTTCGACAGACCGGTTGTTCTCCTCTGTGGAAAGGCAGCTGGTATTCTTACCACTGAAGCTCACGTGAATGACTCCTTACCTACATAAGGCTCAGGTAGAAGATTAGCATCAGCATTTTTCTATCCCTGAATTCAACTATCAAGCAATTTTCTACTCTTTGAAAGTGTTTATACCACATTACAATTGGGCTGTGAAATATATAACCACATACTGCTGTATCTCATGCCCTCCCTGATTTTTTTAACCAAAATAACATGTTAATTTAAGGTTACATCCACAGTTTCACCAAGGGGAATATATTATAATATTTTCACAGGTATAATCTACATCTTAAATACCCACACAGAAACCTCAGGAAGGGATGATGTCAGAAGACAGACTGGCTACTGGAGGAAAACAGAGACGGGCAACGAAGATGAGAAGTGGAGCTAGTTAATAATTTCTTCAATTTTGCCTGCAAATACACAGAGCCCATAAAGCTGCTGAGTCATTGGGAGTGGACAGCAAGAAAGGACAAAATGGGTAAGGTTTATTTATCAGTTAAGAAAGATAACTTGCAGGTCATGTGTCTGAAAATACATATTTTAATTTAAAAAAGCTTTGGGGTAATAAGCCAAAGAGGTAGAGTTCAATAACAGTACAGTTGAAAAAAGGAACTTAAATTAATTCACCTACTGTGATCAAGACCTGCTTAAGTCTAAAATATGCTTATAATACTTCTTGCTAATCCTTTACACGGACTGAGCCTTCCAAATGAACGCATGAGGATATATTTAAATATGTCATATATTATGCATCAGCTTTCCCCAATAAAGTTAGTATTTCAATGTCTTTACCTTGTGGACAAAGCACAGAGAGATCCCACTGCCACAACGTATTTCGCAGGACCCCATCCAACATATTCAAATGCTACTGGCAGAGGACTTTTCTCATCTAGTAGACAGTATGGCATCATAAGTGTCAGTGCAGCTGAAACCCCAAAATAGGCCATGAAGCAGACAAGCAGGGACACCACAATTCCTATGGGTATGGCTTTCTGAGGATTCTTGACCTCTTCTCCTGAAAAAAGGAAAAAAAATACCCCACCAAAAATTCTTCCTCATTTCCAGCTTTCAAAGGTAACATCAAAGACAAATCATTTGTTAATCTAAGCCATGGGAATCATATTTGTAATAGAAGTTTTATACATCTGTATAAATTGAGTTCAGTGACACAGAACAGATCTCAGTATTTTGTTGCCAGAAATACCGATAAAAACAGAGCTAAAGGACATAAAATACATTTTGTATTTAGAGTACTCAAAGTCCATCATTTCTAGTTATTTACCTACAATTGATAACTTTGATGTACTCATTCCCTATCAGCCAGCCTTTAGGACAGGTACCTCATCTCAGAGAACTCTAAAAGTGAGCAGGTGATCAACATGATTTGGGCAGAAAAACTGCATACGAAGCACTTCCTGGACTTCGAAAGGAACAGTTAATTTCTTTAGAACAGGAATAAAGTAAGTAAAATTGCCTCCTTCCTCCCAGAATGATAGCCACATTCAGCAATGCCCCCAGACTCATTCTATGTGGGCAGAAGGAGGTTTAGAAGAAAGCAAAGGACAAACAGTAGACAGATTGTTTGTTGGTTTGGGGTGTGGTTTTTTTACTAAAAAAGAATGTTCTACATATATACTTATACATATATACACACACATAAATACTATACCAGTTGTCGCAATGCAGTCAAATCCTACAAAAGCATAAAAACAGGTTGCAGCACCAGCCAATGTTCCTGTGAAACCATATGGCATAAAGCCACCACTCCCATATATACTTGTCACATTCTCACAGGATAAGCAATTCCTATAAAGAACAAAAATACAGCAGAAAAATGAAATTTTTTTTATTATTGGTAGGACAAACACATGCATCTTCTTCCCCTTCCACTCTGGAAAAACATGCTAAAATGGGACAGACAAGAGTTCTGCTCTACAAAATTGCACGAGAAGACATTTTTATGTCAGTTGCTTGTAAGAAAGACATCTTACTCAGTTTGCAGCTAAACATATTAAAACATTAGTGGTACAGGCAACTCTTGCTGTCATACTCGCGTATTGCCATTAATACATGGCTTACGGACGAGAAGAGAGTAACCTCTCAAATGGCTACGGACAAGATTATTGAAATAAGATGATTTTTTAAAGGAAACTACAAACAAGAAAAAAAACCCCGATTTGTAAGGGAATAAAAAGTTTGTAATTCCCAGCAACAGAGCTGTTAGTTGCTATATTACCTGCAATATCACAAAAGCAAGTATAACAGAAAATCGCTTGGAATAAGAGCAAATAAATTGATTTAAAAAACAAACAAACAATAATTACTCTGTTAATGCCGTAAGGTTTATGAGATCTTCTTCCCTAATTTTCCAGTTGTGAGCATCTCCTTTCACAAAGCCAGAAATCATAACGAAGAGTAGGACCAAGATGTTAATAGCAGTGAAAATTTTATTCACCCATGCAGACTCTTTTACTCCAAAGGATAAAAGACCTGTAAAATAAAAATATCTTATAGATGTGAATCATCCCTTAAACTAATAAAAATGTATTTGAAAGAAGATATATTTGCAAGTACTGAATAATATTAAAAAAACAGCACTAGATTTTATACTTTTAAAAAGTGGTAGCACAGATTTACTAGTCTCTTTGGCAGCATGGTGATATGCATGGGTATTGGAAACCATAAAACAGAAAGCTTCTTTAACTGTATTCTTTAAGTATTTAAAAGTAGCCATTGTTACTTACTGCTTTTCTGAGATTCTGATTCATACTGCTATTTTATATGATGGAGCAAAAACAGACACAAGAATTCTATGCTTATTAAGGACAGATTGGTAGAATCTATTCTGCACAGAACAATGAGTCATTAAATTAATAAAAAAAGCAAAACTATTAGATTAATAATGTGTCCCGTTCACTCTAAGTTATTCAGGCATATCCACCATGTGTTAAGAGTCCTATTTCCTAGCTTCTTAATAAAACCTTTAAAAGAACTGCATGCCTCCTGGTCATGAACACTGAGATTCTAGTAAGAAGTCTGACACGAAATACACACACCTTAGGTTGCAGAGAAGTGCATTTAAACAACATGAAAGTTATTCGATCGGGATCTTACTGTGTCCTGTAACAACTGCATATCCACCATGTGTTAAGAGTCCTATTTCCTAGCTTCTTAATAAAACCTTTAAAAGAACTGCATGCCTCCTGGTCATGAACACTGAGATTCTAGTAAGAAGTCTGACACGAAATACACACACCTTAGGTTGCAGAGAAGTGCATTTAAACAACATGAAAGTTATTCGATCGGGATCTTACTGTGTCCTGTAACAACTGTTAAGT